CCCCCCCTGCCTCTCCCTGCCCGAGTGATGACCCGCCCGCTCACGCAGGCCAGCCGGGCCTCGGCCTCGGAGGCCGTCCACCGGGGCAAGAAGACCGCCTCATCTGTCGACTCGGTTGACCTGGTCACATCCTCCCCCCCCGGAGTGGGCTCCGCCCCGGCCCGATCGGCCCTCCGGGAGACCCTTCACTTCGCCCTTTTGGCCTCCGGTCTCTATGCCTCCTTCCTGACGTGGGGTCTGCTGCAGGAGCGCATTGCCTCGACCACCTACCTGGCCATCGACGGGTCAACCGCTCGGTTCCAGCATTTCAGCCTGCTGTCGGCCTTCCAGGCGCTTTTCTCGGCCATCTTGGCCCGGGTGTCGCTGGCTCTCCTGCACAAGGACCGGCCCTTCCCCATCTGGCGCCGCGGCGCGGCCAGCCTGCAATTCCTGATGGGCCTGGTTGGCCTGACGGCTGCCTCCTCGAGCCCGCTGGCGTACGCCTCCCTCGCGTACCTGAACTACCCGACCCTGATGCTGGGCAAGACGGCCAAGCTGATTCCGGTGATGCTGGTCCGGTGGGTGGTGTACGGCCAGCGGGCCGATGCCCGGAAGGTGTTCGCCTCGCTGGCCATCACAGCCGGCGTGTTTGCCTTTTCCATGCTCGGCGAGTCCAGTGCGTCGGGAGGCCTCCCCGGGCCGTGTTTCGCCCCCCGCCCCGCCGCCTTGGCATCCCTTGCCTTTAATGACCCTCCCCCTTCTGCCCGCCCTCCCGGCCCCCCTCTGCCTGTTCCGTCCCCTTCCCTCAATCCATCCGGCCCCTTCTCCCCTCCCTCCCCGGCCCCCGCCCCCCCCCCCCCACCCCACCCTGCTTGCAGGTGGCCCCTCGAAGTATGACGGCCAGACGACCACCGGCGCTGGGCTGGCCCTGCTGGCCCTGAGTCTTCTGCTGGATGGCCTGACCAATGCCACCGAGGACCGGATGTTCCAGCTGTTTGGCAAGGGTGGCTCGGCTCGGTGGCGCCTGGCCCGGGGCCCGGCCGCCGGTGCCGCTGACCCCACCTCCCCCGACCAGGTGTCCGCGGAGGCTCTGGCCGCGGCGCCCACCTTCACCGCTCCCCAGCTCATGCTCTACCTGAATCTGGCGCACTTTTGCCTGCCGCTGGCCGGCTTCGGGGCAGCGGTCCTCCTGACCCGGACCCTGTCTCTGCCGGGGCCGGTGGTCGGCCTGCTGACCCCCCTGATGGAGACATACAGCCATGGGCTGGCCTTCCTGCGGACGCATCCCGCCGCCCTGGTGGACGTGTGTCTGTTTGCCTTCTGCGGGGCCGTGGGGCAGCTCTTTGTCTTCGCCATCCTGGCCAAGTTCGGCTCCATCACCCTGGTCACCCTGACTGTGACTCGGAAGCTGGCGTCCATCGTGGCCAGTGTCTTCCTCTTCCGGCACCCGGTTACCGGGCCCCAGTGGGCGGCCATCGCCCTGGTGGCGGCAGGCCTGCTGATTGAGGCCGCCGAGGGGATTCGCAAGGCCGGGCGCAAGTCGCAGCACCCGGCCACCCCCGCCGGGGGGGCTGTCACCAAGCAGAAGGCGCATTAGTTGTCTGCCCCCATGCGCTCGTGACCGCACATGCACTCTCAGACATGTCACACCGACTCAGGCACGCACACACACACACACACACATGCATTGCCCTACGTGTCTCGATTCCACCGGAAAATAAACACCCCCCTCCAGTTGCACATTCATGTGGCCCTCCGGCAAAAGAGGGCCACACGAAAGGGCCAAGGGGCCAGCCAAGAGGAAGAAGAGAAGAATGTCTATTATGCCGGGCCGAGCAGTGCGCAGGTGTGCCCAAACCGGGAGGGTTGTTCATCGCGGAGGGAGAGGAAAGGCCCGAGGAGGCAGCCCCGTGCGATGCGCTGCGGGGAGAAGGGGGAGAAAGATGACGATGATGATGATCATGATCATGATGATCATGATGGGGACGCGGAGCCGGGGAGGAGGTCGTCGGGTCACAGCTTGCGCGACACACTACGCAGGGTGTGCATTAGCCGGAGGACGGCCGACATGACGACCACAGCACCGGCCTGATGGGCACTGGCCAGCGGGGTGGGGACATGCATCAGCAGGGTGGCAATGCCGAGGGTGAACTGCCCGGCCAGGGCACCAGACAGCAGGAGCATGGCATTGCGAGTGGGCTTGGCCAGGAGGTGCCACTGCCGGCGGAGGACCACACCCAGCACAAGGCCACACCCGGCGGCCAGGGTGGTGGTGGCCAGGACACGATGGTGGAACTGGGTGGCCGGGGCGGAGTCCAGCACCCGGCGCACGGGGTTCGGCTCGTCCTCGACCGGGAGCAGGTAGTCCGCCGGGGCCAGACGGCCCGGCCCCATGGTGGGGAACTCGTTGTACACACGCCCGGCATGGAGGCCAGCCACCAGGGCCCCGGAAAGGATGGTCACGCCGACCAGGGTGGCCAGATGGTGGCTATTGCGCTTGAGCGACCGGAGGGGGCCCCACACGGCCGGGTCGCGCACGGCCGAGTACAGGTTCTTGGCCGCGGTGCTCGGCAGCAGGGACAAGCCATTCCACAGGGAGACCCCGTAGATGACCAGGGCCAGGCCCAGGTGCGCGGCCAGGCGGAGATGGCTCACACGGGCCACGCGATCCTCCTCGACCAGGCGCTCATCCAGGCCGGACTTGACCATGAGCCAGCCCATGAGCCCCTGGGCACCGATGAGGGTGCCGATGGCCAGGGCCTGCCGACCGAAGGGGGTCATGCGGCCGGCGTCCCGGAGAACCACCGTCCCGCGGGCGGCCATCCAGGCCAGCGGCGCGGCCCAGGCCAGGCCAATCAGCCGGCCCACCTGGCGGTGGCCCCACTCCCACCAGAAAATGTACTTGAAGTCCTCCATGGACATGCCGTGGTTCTGCAGGCGGTACTCCGGCGAGGCGCGGTACTTGGCAAACTCGGCATCCCACTCGGCATCCGACCGCGGAGGCAGGGTCCCGGTGACCGGGCGCCAGTCGGTGATCGACAGGCCGGACTCGGTCAGCCGCGTCAGACCGCCGATGACAATGATGCTGAAGGTCAAGCCGGCCACCGTGAACATGTAGGCGGCGGCGCGGCGCTCGGAGCCGCGCGGCACGCCGCCCATCAGAGCCGACCAGCGGCCGGTGCCGGTCGCAGCCGCCTCGGCCGGCGCCGCCGGAGCCGACGTGGTCATGGCCCGGCGAAGCAGCGTGGTGGGACTGCCACCCGGGGCCCGGGCCAGAGGACGCATGGCCCCGAGGAGGCCAGCCCGACGGCCAGCGGCCAGCAGCGGCGCCTCGGCCGCCAGCAGCCCGGCACGCAGGCTGAGGCTGGCGGCCGGGGCAGCCGGGCGCATCGGGGTCACCAGGGCCGCCCGGAGGCTGGGGGCGGCCCGGCCAGCAAAGCGACCGAGCGAGAACATGGTCGCGCTAGGAGGGGCGTGGCGGGGGGGGGGGGGGGGGGGGGGGGGGGGGGGGGGTGGGGAGGGCGGCGGGGGGCGGAGAGAGAGAGAGGGAGAGAGGACGGTCAGGGGGGGCGGCGCCTGTTTACTTGGCTCCGTGTGTGCGGGTGTGTGTG